CACGAGCTGCAGCGGCTTGCTCTTTCGCAGACAGAATAAAGTAGGGATCACTCTTCTCCCACCAAGGTTTTAACTCTTGGTACTCAGCTGCGCTGACTATCTAAAATCCCTTCTCGTACAAGTTGAGAGGCCGATCCTTGGAATCTGTGATCTTGGGAGTGTTGGTGATCCGATTCCCGTCCTGAGTGATCCCGAGCACCTCATAATTAATGCCAGAATTCTCTTCGTAAAAGACATAAACAGTTAGCTTTGCCGGAAAAAATAGGCATCTAAAAACAAAAGAAACAAAAAGGAAATAATAAAGTCCTCGGCCCCAGCCGAGCTCCTTACCGCCTTGATTCTTTCGGCTGAGGCCGACAACAGCAAGCATCTTCTCTTGGAAGATTTAGTGGCAGCAAGGTAGCCTAGTAGTGGGCACGTCCTTCATCTGGCCCGTGTGTGGTCCGACCGAAAAGGGCCATTTGCTTCAGGTCCGCATCGGAGAACTCATCAGGACCGATGATGGGCATGCTGGGTTCAAGCTTTCTCCGGTGCACCGAAGTGGTTTGGATGGTCTTCGTCTTGGGGCGCCCTTACCTAGATCCATTGACCCCTCCGTTCTTTATCCGAGGTATCGTTCGGCCAGACCGATAGGTAGCCCTTCTCATCTTCAATTTGCCACCAGCTAGGGCCATGAAACTTGTTTGCCTGGGCGTTCGAGACCAGTTTATACATGCAGTGGAAGCAATGGACGCTCGACGTAAATCCATAAAACAGGCACACCCAAAGATAAGTCGTCACCCTTCGGATGCTCACCGGAGTCAGTTGACACAACGAGATGTTATACCCGTTCTGAAGTTATAAACGAGTGAAGGGGGAATCGAAGCCCGTATTGCAGCTAGCAAGTGTAAACCCCAATGTAGCTAGGCGGAGGGCGATGAATCCTATCGTTTGAAGAGGGCATTTGGCACCAATACCCAACTTCCTCCATAATTCCGTAGTAAATCTCAATTTGCTCGGCAAAGTAGAACTCGGCGTCATTCTCAATCCACCATTTATAGGGCGGAGACGACATAATGCAAGCGTTTTCACGCTCATCCAGCCATTCCCTCTCCTTAGGGGGCAATGGCCTTGATTCCGAAGTCGCGCTTCGGCCAGAAGTACTGTCTTCTCCCGAGGTCCTGAAGGCAAGGTGGTCAATGGGAGAACCCTAATTGCAGAGCCGCTAGGAGCGGCGGCAACACTAGTCCTAGCCCTAGGGTTAGGGGTGGCATCATCGCCAAGGGACGGTTCCGCCGCAAAGTCAATTGCGGAACCTTTTCTTCTTCCTCAACACTCGGCTTAGCCTCTACCTTTTTCTTTCCACGGTCCCCGGCCATTTTCGAAGGTGGTTGCGCGAAAGAGGTAAAAGGAGGGGGTACTTGAAAGCAAGAAAAAACAAACAGATTTCAAAGAAAATTACCTTGTTCGAATGCGAAATTCGTCGATCTATACGTTCGGAGCAACGAATTTCAATTATTGACTTCGGATTGCAAAATTCGAGCAAAAAGGGGAAATTAGCGAAAACAAGAAAGGATTAGCGAAATTAAAGTACGGAGAGAGAAAGGGATGTGTGGTATTTATACCTGCAAATTCGGGAATGCTCGAAGGTCGTGCCACGAAAAATACCACTAACTCCACTTCATTGCTTCATCCATTCACCTTCCTCTCTAATTAACCGCCCACTAAACCCTCAATAGTCACTAATAACTACAAACAACCGTTATTGCCTTAATAAACACAAAATTCAAATGCTAATTAATCATTTGCTTCCCTCCTTTTTGCAAGACAAAACCCAACTCGTCAAACTTCCGAATCGGGTATGGGGGGCAAGTTGTTGGGTCCAATTTATTCTAATTGGGCCGGTACACAAATGATTCAATTACAAAGCCTATAAAAGGTTCAACTCTCCTAAAGCATGCCAGGTTAGTCAAAGGCCCAGTACACATGACAAGCCCATTTGACTTCAAGGCCCAATTTATCTATTTAAATAAGGTACAAAAGCCTTCACTTTCTTCTCCTTACATTCATTCACTTGAAGCCTCAAGCAATTAATTCTCTTGCATAGCTTTCTCTTTCTAGAAACACTGTACTGACTTGGCATCGGAGGGGCCTTCCTCAGCACAACCCCCGAGGCCAGTTTACATGTGTTTACGTGTGTTTGCTGTGAGGAAACCCTCGTCCCAATCATCACTTGGGCTGAGTCCAGTTTTCAGCCCACAAGAAAGGTGGTCCAAACGAAGGACCCATTGTTTTCACCCGAAACAAGAACTAATGCAAAACCTATATATATGATGAAGGCCAGGAGGGTTATGGATATCTTGAATTGTTTTGGGTGACTTGTAAATGGAATACTGCACCTAAATCGTTTGGCATTGTGATATTTTCCAATGCCCATGCAGCTCTAACTAATTGACAAAAAACCCCAATAATATAGAATGAAATAGCTAGATTGAATTTGGCATGATGCATGAAATTAAATAATAACAAAATAATAATAATAAAAGTTAAGTATTAACTACATAATTAGGCCTCACTTCTTAGTTTTGTCACTCTTTGGGTACTCACTTTTTTTTTTCACTCTTTGAGTACCCTAACCCAAATTCCGGCCAACTACCTCTAACTCACCGTTAACTCAAGCTAATTAAAAATTAATTATTTTTAAACAAAAACCAAACTGCATTAAATTAGGCCCCAAGTTTTTTTTAAAAAATAAAAATAAATAAATGAATAAAATAGCCATTGAAGTCTATATATTACAACAGCAACCTTTATGTTATTACAAGTATTGGAAAATTAATTGTGTTTAGGCTTTTAACTATATATGTTTAGGCTGCCTCCTTATGTATTACCGAAATTACAAGTATTGAAAAAATAATTTAGAGTTATTTTAGTTACGACGCTAGCGTGATGCAAAGCTTAGTTAACAGACATACTTGTACTCACAGCGATATCTTATGTTTGTCTACCATCAATTTAGTCATAACAATTTTGGTGTCAATTTTCCATTTTGTGCTTTATGCCAATACTAGGGTCCAATCCCTGTCGAACCTAAGACCTAGCAGTATCAAATATCTTTCCATTAATATGCATGATATATACTTAACTGATCATAAGTTCATCACTTTCACCTTCAAGCTAAGTCAAGAGAGTAACATAAATAGAAAAGAGAGAAACATAAGATGGAAGTTATGAAAAATGCTGAAGTAATGCAGACAAGTGAGCCAGTAAGGGACACATAAAAAAATAGGATACACTCTACATTTCTTCCTAGGAGCAGGCAATCTTCTTCCATGGAACGCCTTCATCACAATCATTGATTTCTTTGCCTATCTATACCCATCAAAGCACGTCGAAAGAGTCTTCTTGGCGGCTTACATGACTGATGATAAAGGGCCAATGAAACAAATTGAGAAGCAAAGTTAGCTTTAGACTGTACATTAGTTATTCAAGTGCATCAATAAATGTGCTTAGCTGGGCATTAGTTAAGTTAACCCAAGGGACCCTCTTTTTAATCCAAGTGACTCTCTTTATTTGATGTATTTAATTGATTTGGCCGGAATTTGAGATTGAGTACCCAAACGGTGAAAAAAAAATTAGAGTACTCAAACGGTGAAAAAAGTGAAAAGTGAGGGCCCTTTTGTGTAGTTAACTCAAAAGTTAATGACTACCTCAAACTAATTAAGATCCTACGACTTGAGCAATGCCTCCTTCACTCATCATTATTTCTTTATCATACTGATCAATGCATAAATAAGCTAAATGCACACTAAAGTGACAAAGGTCCTGCTGTGCGTAGGCATGACTTGGGCGTGCTTTGATGCCCCTCATATAAGCTTTGGGTGTGCCTCATATGTGCCTTATGCGCCTCACCTAGAGCAAAAAACAAGCAACCTACCTTAAATGCCTAGCGCCTGCGCTTTTTAACACACTGATTCTGATCAATTATTAATTTCTAAAAAGAAATAAATTCAACACAAAATAAACTTAATGAATTGCAATTCCTAAAATTATTAATTATAACTTATATGAACCCTAAAAGAATCACCTAACTTTCAATAAATGCTTAGGCAAAGATGGGTTTATTGAATTGGAGGGTAAAGATTCATTCTAGCAGCAAAAATATGTAAAAAATTAATTTAAGAAATTACTAAGTGCAAGCACAAAATTAAAGAAAGCATGAAACAAAACCCTTGATTGTAAAATGGTTATTTGATGATTAGAAAATAATAAAATAAATTGAACATCTTACCTCGAGAGTTTTTTTCAATTTAATAAAGAAGTCAAAGTAAGCTTTATCGGAGGAAAGAGAGAGATCGTCTAAGAATTAAACTAATCCTTGAAATACAGTAATTTATAAAACCAAACCAAAACTCCAGACAGTATAACGACCAATAACCCTAACATGTGCAGCTGGTGCTGATTGCATGTTCTTGTGGCTCATGGTGGTTGTGTTTTTCTATGGCAAGATTGGCAACATGTTTGTATACGCTGCAAGGAGAGAGAGGGAGAAAAAAATTAGGGCACCAGTTTTGGGTCATCCATCCATGGCTTTAGGAGCCAAAATTTCACTAACTTGAATTTGGTTCATACATCCATATTCAAACCATGGGTTTCATGGATGCTCTGATTTCAAAGACAAGCTATTAACTAGGAATTAATACTGGAACCTAGCACGCAAGATTACAAAGCTGGTTATAACAAAAAACAGAGTTACTTAAATGGTTTTTCTTATTACTCTCAAAATTTGTTAAACATTTATAAAATAGAAGTCCAGCAAAATGCTATATAATCCATTTTCTCATAATGGCTATGAATTGAGCTATCTAGGTGTGTTCCAGTTACAAGTTACTTTCTATGTCTAATTGTTGTTGTGCTTTTTGTCATGACCGCTTTGTCAACATTCTAATTTCTCATTATTCCACTTCTTTTTTTCTAGCTACTATTTCTATTTCCATAATTAACATCTACTATGTATTTAGGATATGATTGCTCGTTTTGGAAAACAAGAAGCAATGCCAAGGGAATTCTTTACTGATTTTGTTAGAGTTGCACAGGATGAAGGTAGACACTTCATCTTTCTTGCCACCCGACTTGAGGAATTGGGCTCCTGTTATGGTGCTTTGCCAGCCCATGATGGTTTATGGGACTCGGCCATTGCAACATCAGATGATCTTTTGGCACGGTTAGCAATTGAACATTGTGTGCATGAGGTATGCACGTTTTGTCCTTCATACTAACATCAACTGTTTGCTTTCCTTGCACTGCTATCATGAAGTTGGCCCAATACTTTCTGTTGTCAAATGATTTTTATGATGATGCCTTTGTGTTGTATTAGAGCACTGTTATCATGTTTCTAAACTTTGATCACCATATTAGGTGCATAGAAATATGCTTTGCTCTTCCGACTAACAATTATGATAAATCTCTAAATCCGATGACCTAGAACACGCTGCTCAGGGATTCTGTAGAAGAAATACCAAAAATGAGAGCCTGCTGACAAAATATTTTGTTGCATAAAAATGGGAGATTTGAGCATAAATTTCTACCTTATCGTGAATTCATACATCGTGGAAAGGTTATCTAAGAATGCCCTTGGGCCTTAGATTAACAAGCTTGTGCTAAGGTTTAATGATTTACCTTGCTTATATATGCATGATGTGTACGACAAACCAGAATTATAAGCTTCTAAATGCTTCACTCCATAAATAGTTCTAAGGGATAATGACTTCAAGTTCAAGTCACCCTAAATTTATACAAGGGTCCCATTACTGTCAATCTCAGCTAGAAAAGTTTTTCCATACTCCAAAGCATCTGTCCTTCTTGCTGCTATTCTATCAGTTGTTCGACTCTTGCCTGGATCAATTTTTGGAGAATGAAGTCCATTCCGGCCACCTGAAACTATATTGAATGAACTGGTACAGTGTGTATGACTCCCTCCCTTAGATGCTTTCCCTGGTTCTGGATCATTTAGTGCCTTCATTCACCACATCTTGGAGTGTTCCTCCACCTGTGGCACTTGCAGCATTGACATATGGATCTCCCACTGGAGATTGACCCACATTTGCGTCCTGAGGTGGTCGCACCTCTTCACCTTGCCCTTGGCCGGGCTTGCGGCATTGGTTGCCTTTTACTTACATTTTCCGCATTCAAATATGCTGATTGGAAAACTGGTGCTTATAACGGTGGATTAGTGACCTGGTCATCAGGCTCTATGAATCTTTCAGTCGATGGCATTGCTCTTAGATGAAGGGAAAACATTGTGAAGTAATGCTCAGATTGGAGGAGTGAGATTCCCTTATATAATTACTCTGCCATCTTTGCCTCGATCTTTATGATTCTCATCCGAATTCCTCGTGCATATAGTGTACTTGTGTGAATGTGCCCGCATCAAATACAACATCTCCTCATACTTGAATTATACCCAAATCACAACTCCATTGTCTAATTTCAGGAATCAAAGGTTCCGCCACCTTGAGCTTGAAATGGATCAGACATGATCCTAGGCACTAAGAGTCGCAAGAGGAGATCCCGTTATCGTAATTGCATAATTGATATGAGATGGTAGTAAAGGAGGATCTGCAAATGGAGTTATTGTAAATCGCAAGAGAATCTCTCTCTCTCTCAACTGTGGTAGCATGAGATATTCTTTTATCATTGATGAAACTATTTATGTGTGTGCGTGTGTGCGCGCGCGCGCATGTGTGTGTGTGTTTGTGTGTATTCTTCATGATTTCAACTATTGACAAGCTCATGAGACAAGGTTGAGTCAGTTAATCATGTCATTAATAATCTATTCAACTCAACTTTTCTAAGATCAATGTGTAAATTATAATTCTCAGTACTGCTATATTATGTGATAGTATTTAAATTCTGGCTCTGCTGAAGTATGTGTACCCTGCAAAATATGTTGAATACAGGCTAGAGGACTTGATGTGATACCAACAACCATTGCTCGTTTCCGCAATGGTGGTGACCATAAAACAGCAGATCTACTAGAAACTGTGATTTATCCTGAGGAGATCACTCACTGTGCTGCCGGGGTGAGATGGTTCAAGTATCTTTGCTTGAGATCTACAAATGTTGCTCCTAAAGAAGAATGTGTGGTTGAGGAAGTTGCAGACGATGATGCAGCTATTCAGAAGTTTCACACAACAGTCAGAACTTTTTTCAGGGGGCCCTTGAAGCCTCCTTTCAATGTAGAAGCAAGGAGAGCTGCTGGATTTCTCCCTGAATGGTATGAACCTCTTGCTGTTAAAGAACTGGAAGTTTTTCCTGCAAGCTGAAATTCAAAGTTTAACCATTTTAGGAGAGTGCTTAGCTTCTCAAAAACACCTTTTCTTTTTTTATTTTTTTTTTTATTTTTTTTTTATATCTTGTTTTATTCCCCCTTTTCTCCTTTTTATGATTTTTTTTTTTCTTTTTTGAGAAAGTAAGATATACAAAGATTAGGGATGTTTTTTCTCAATCCTACCTTATTTCCTTAAATGACTAGTTGTGGGGTAATACCCATAGGCATAGGCTCAACATTAGTTCTTAATTTGTGGGGTATTTAGTTCACATTAGGTCAACGGAGTGATTTCAGAAAGGGATAAACAAGGTCTCCTACCTATTTGGATTTGTCTCATTAATGAAATGAATTGCTCCTGGATTTTCTTTGTGATTGTTTGATTCAAAGCTGGGAATCAAATTATAATTTGTTTATTCATTCTTCATGAGTAGCAGCATGTATTTTTTGTGAACGAGGCCATATTAATGCTCTAGCAAAAAAAAAATAAAAAATAAAAAAAATAAAAAAACTATTGAACATTACCAATTTTTTTTTTTTTTTTTGGTAACATTACCAACTTAATATCATATTAGTATATTCATTAATTGTTATGTGCAACTTTTAGGTATTATTTGTGAAATATAAAAATTATAAAAAGTTGCATATAATAATTAATAGAGGTATTATTAAATTAATTACTACCTCCATTTCATATTTTTTGCAACTTTGGAATATTTTATCTCACAAATAATACCCCAAAGTTGCAAAAAATATGAAACGGAGGTAGTATAAGTTATAATTTAAAGTGTTGGCCTATACAATATACTATACTACTACTTCCTCTGTTGTATAAAGTTTGTGGTTAGTTAAAAAAAATAACAAAAAGGGAAAAACTAAAACAAGAAATGCCCCAGCAGCACCTAGCCACCTATCCGGCAGCCCCGAGCCCAGCCCTCGTCGACACCCTAAAGCCCCTCCCCCTTGTCGGCTTCGACGCCGCCCTTCCCCCTACCCCCAACCACCTAATTCCCACCCCAAAACCCTAAAACAAACCCCCCCCCAAAAAAAAAACCCTTCCCCACCTGTTAAACCCCCTAATCAGCCCTCCCCCACCCTCGAAAACCCTAGTCAACAGGGTTCCAAGGGTGAGGGAGGGCCAATTGGGGGGTTTATGCGATGGGAGAGGTGTTTTTTAAGGGTTTTGAGTTGGGGTATTATGTCGGGTTTGGTGGTAGAGGGAAGTGCGGTGGCACCGGTGCGGGGGAGGGTGGGTCTGGGTGTCGGTGGGGATGAGGAGACTCGGAAGGGGGCCTTGGCTGGTGGTGGGGAGGGTGGTCATGGGTGGGGCTGAGTTTTTTTTTTTTGAAATTTTTTATTTTTTAAACTTTCAACCAATCACGTGCAGACACGTGTCACTTAACTTTTATAACAAGTTGGATGACCAATTGAGACCATTTTAAGCGAATAACACCCAAAGTTCGGATTATTTAAAAATAATCAATAGTTGATATTATTTTGAGCAAACGGGCAAAATTAGGATTATTTTTTTACCAATTTTTCCTTGAACTAAATGGGATTGAAAAAATAAGGAAGATGAATTGAAGGATAGGAAATGATAAAAAAAAAAAAAAAAAAAAAAAAAAAAAAAAAAAAAAAGGAATATGGGATTAGTGAGGACTCTTAAGATATGACAATTAGAATAGGATTAGAATTCAAAAATTTGATCTTATAAGAGTATGACGTAGACTAAAATTCAAGAAGAGTTAGAGCTCATGAGAAAAAACAAATAATATAACATTAGAAAAAAAAAATCTACAATTTTTATCTTGGAGGTTTGACATAGATTAGAATCCTAAGCGAAGTAGTAGAAGATTGACTATAACTTATTAGAGGATCTTAACACGAAAAAAAAAAAAAAAAAAAAAAGTTGAAACTTAGATACAAAAAGATAGAATTCCTCCTTTCAAAAAAAAAAAAAAAAAAAAAAAAAAAAAAAAAAGATAGAATTCCTAAAATGGACAGATTGTAGTGTTTCGGTCTTAACTTCTGATATGTTACTCTGATCGGGACGAAACTAGTGTCAAATGAAAGATAAAATCTAAGGCTACGTATACATAGGTGGACCAAAACAAATTCACCCCTTGTACAGAATACGAGAATGAAAAATGTGTGTTGACCCAATTTTTTTTAATTTTTTTTTTATGTTTTTTTTAAAGGATTCCTATGACAAAACTCTAATAAAGAAAAAAAATAGAAAAAAATTAAAATGATTAAAATATGCACATAACAGCCCGTAGTCACACATGATACAATGAAGTTTGCAACCAAGAGTTTGGCTCTATGTTCATTCAAATGGTCGGCTTATTAGGGTGTCAAGAGGTATAATGGGTTAAAGTTTTGGTGTGAAAGCAAGCAACCTCCCTTGAGGTTGTATGTTCACAAACTGGTCAACAACTTCATGGCTTGGTGAATCTAACATCTAAAATGAATCCTAATTGCCAAGAGCGTTTTCAGGTCAGTAAAAGAATCAAAAGTCAGAATCCGGTTAATTGGAAGAAATTTTTTTGAATGGGTTTCTTCTTGCCAATTTTTTATTCTTGCCAATTTTTTATTTTTAATTTTTTATAAGGGTTTATCACAAAAACCCACATTTAAAAAGAAGTTTACGACATTTATTATTTTGATGTACCATTTACATACTTATTTGTACTATTAGCAAATATTTTATACCATTACAACATTTAATAGTACTATTTACCTATGAAATAGTACTTTATTTTCATGGCCTATGCATGAAAATACATATAGGCGCTATGTGCCAGTAGTTTTCCGATTTTGTCACATAAAATCGTGCTGCAGGGTAGGCAAGTTGGTGTGGGCTTCGTGATGGGATTTTTTCCCAAATTAAGCTTTATACGGAAATTATTTACGAAATTGGTCTCGTGGCAAAAGTATTTCCCAAACTAAGCTTCTGAGGTGAAACGCTGTCTCGGACAGCGTTTTACACTCAGTTTCAGTTTTTTTAAAAAAAAAATTCAAGACATAAAACGCTGCCTCAGGCAGCGTTTTATGGTAGTTTGACTTTTTTCATAAACTTCGTATTTCATACCTGTTTTATACAAATAAACGCTGCCTGAGGCAGCGTTTATATCTTTAAATGAAACGCTGCCTCAGGCAGCGTTTAATGTACAAGCATAAAACGCAGCCTGAGGCAGCGTTTTTATCTGTACATTAAACGCTGCCTCAGGCAGCGTTTCTTGCGGGAATTATAACGAATTCCAGGCCTTTTTTTCTCAATCTCTTTCCTCTCTTTCACGCAATTTACACTCTCTCTCTCACTAACTCTCATTGTCAGCAACAAAGAACCACAGCCGTTGCCAACGCCTCCCCTGCCGTGTCGCCGCCCCTGCCGCCGCCAAAGTGAACGGAAGTTGTTGCCGGCATTGTCTCACTCACTCTTTAAATCCGGGTAAACCCTAAATTCATTGAGCTTTGGGACCAGCGGTTGGAGTCCATCGTTGACGGTCACCTGTTTCAGGGTGTTATGGATCCGCGTGATCCTTACATGGTATGGTACAGGCAGATTACACGCCTTTTCATCAACCCTACCTACACCCCACCGTCCAGCTTATGATGTTATCAGCGGACTTGTGAGTTTTTTCAGTTTCTTGTTTTCCAAAATTATTTGAAATTCTATATCATATTACTAATTCATGGATGATTACTGCAGGCGGGGGATATGGGTGCGATGGTTGATGCACTTTCAGATGCCTTAGCAGCCGTACCCACCAGAGCCCAGGTTGAGCGGGTGCGAGATATGGGTATACATAGCTTGCAGAGATATGGCCATGGCCATCTCGTCCACCCCAGGGACGATCATGACCCCAACTCCTTCCATTCACAGTTCGACTTCGGACAGAGTAGTGGTGGAGGTCATACTTCGGGCTCTACATAGGCGGAGGATTACTTCATCCATAACACCGCTCCCGGCCACAGCCAGGGTGACTCATCGTCTCTCCAGCTGACTCCTCCATCGCCCCGAGACCCATTCACCACCATTCAGCATTACACGAGGCGTCCGAGGTGTGTTCGTAGACGGACGGAGGACACACATGATGGAGATCAGTTAACTCCAATACATGAGTCCGGATAGTATTAGTTAGTTGATCCTTTTGTGGTACTCAGATATTTAACAATGTTGTATATAACGCTTACATTATTAATACAAGAAATGTTTTCTAAATGTCTCTATGTACAATTTGAAGTTTATTTCCCTTATTTGTCCGAATTTGACTTTTGTTAGTAGATCTTTTATATCCGTTATATGTATCAAGCAGCATATATTTGGTCTCCTGCACTTAAAGTGCTGTTTCACGATGGTTATCATGCTGTTGGGGTTGTTTCCAGTGTTTGATGGTTGTCGGTGGTGGTCGATGGTGGTGGAAAGGTTGGGGCTGGTGGTGGGAATGCTCTTGCGTTGTTTAGGGTGTTTTATGGTAGTTTATGGGTGGTTGAGAGTGGCGGGCGATGGTGGTGGGGGAGGTGGTTGATGGTGGTGGGGGTGGTGGTTAATGATGGGGATGGTGGGAATGTCCTTGCGTTGTTTAGGGTGTTTTGCATTGCATAGGGGTGGTCGAGAGTGGCGGCCAGTGGTGGTGGGGGAGGTGGTTGATGGTGGTGGATGGTGGTGGGGGTGGTGGTTCATGGTGGGGCTGAGCTGATGCTGCTGGGTGAGGGTTATGTGTAGGGGCAGCAGCAGATTGCAGAAACTGCTGCTGATGTAGTGTAACAAATGCTGCTGGTAATGCAGTCTAGCAGAAAAACGCTGCCTGAGGCAGCGTTTTATGCTTTAACATAAAACGCAGCCTCAGGCAGCGTTTTATGCTTCAAATAAAACGCTGCCTCAGGCTGCGTTTTGTGCTTCAACATAAAACGCTGCCTCAGGCAGCGTTTTAAAGCCCATATACATATTCCAGTATAATTTGGCAAAATATACTAGTATATTTTGCCAAAATACATACCAACAGGTCAACAAGGTAAAACGCTGTCTCGGACAGCGTTTTACTTGATTTTTTTTTAAAAAAAAACTGGGTGTAAAACGCTGTTCGAGACAGCGTTTCACCCCAAAAGCTTAGTTTGGGAAATACTTTTCCCACGGGACCAATTTGGTAAATAATTTACCAATAAAGCTCAATTTGGGAAAAAATCCTTCGTGATGCTTGGGGAGGGCATAAGAAATAGGAAGCAAATTAAGCAAAAGTGCAAAATATACAATTGTTCAAACAAATCTCATCCTTTTGTGTTTTTTTTTATACAATATATTTTAAAATTTAAATAGCAGAAGTTTCAATTTTTTTTATCATGGCAACACCAAGCGAGATACTTTCTTTAATACTCAATATTGCATTAAGAAGAAGAAAATAGACTTACATTATACAAAAGT